GCTTTGCGTAACAGTTGCAGCGCGGTATACTCGAACGGCCAACCCGCACGACAACTCTATACAACCATCATGGTGCAACACCCAGCTCTACATATTGAAGCAAAAACCAGTAAAGTTTCACCTCCACGCTGTAACGTTAATTTTAGGCTTTTTTTCTAAATCGCTCAAAAGTGTTACTGCTGAGGAACCGGACTGTGCCAAAGTTTAAACATGTACCAGATGGATCGTCCGACACTTCTGCTTGAAAGGTCGTACACCACCTGAACGCCTACACTATGAACTCTAGGCATATGGCTCTCTCGAAGTTAAAATAAATTATTGGCGCAGCAGCCATGATTTATCTCAACGGAAAGCTCGTCGCCCAAGCAAAAAAAGGTGCAGGACCAATAGCGTTAGCTAAAGGGCTGAATTAGTCGCATTGCAATTTGGCCTGCAGAAATCGCTGAAAACCATTCCCCGCTGTAGCACCCCATCGTGCAGAGTCTCCGTCTTGACGGTTTACCAGCGCTTCCCATGGCACTACAAACAGGCCCACCGACAGCAACAGACCCTATATTGAGAATGCTGTGGAACCTGTTATTGGACCTCTAACACCGCAAGGCACGCACACAGCTACCTTTTTTTATTGGGCCACTGTGGCGTTGCAAAGAATGAGGCATGCGATAAGGAAGCCAAGACGGCCTCTGACTTACCACAGCGCACGGGCACGTTGAAACTGGGCGTGGTTGCGTTGACAAAATGCAACTTACGTAGTCAGTTTCCCAAATTACCTACCCCTCGCTCTAGTACCACCAGCCATTGGAACCCGACACGCAATGGCCCCAGCTTAAAGCTGGGAGGGGGGGCGGCCTTACCTCTTTTTCGCACTGATGCATCTTGCTGCTGCAGCTGCCTGCTGCTAGTATTGCCGCCCGCCACGCCAAATACACGTGGGTGGTGCAACCCAATAGAACCCCCTCCCTCACTTTAAAAGCCTCGCGTAGAAACGTCCGAAGGCAACCCAGAAGCAGTGTTATTGTGTCCCCGCAGCGCGGTCAACCGTCAGGAGCGCCAAACCTGCTATAGCTGTCGGCCATGTGTTGTGACTCACGTGGCCAAAAAGTATGGATTCTCACGCGCGCATGCCCTATGGAAAACCAAGCACCCAGCAGCCGCAGAGCCGCCTGACATCCTTCCAGAACCGCCCCCCTCCCCAGAAACGAGAACCAAACGCACAAAATTGAATACGGCAGCCGAGCCGAACACGATCGAAAAGAAGCGGCGAGAACAATTCACTTGTAACTTATGCGCGGCGCCGTGAAAAGCGCAAATAAGCCTCACACAGCGCATTCGCTACTTCCACCACCTGCAATGCCAACATGTGGAACGTAAACAACCACGGGGGGCAGAAGAGAAAGTCAAAAACTCACCTTTTTAATACGACCACTGTGAATTCAGGGCCCTAACCAAGGCTAGGCCCTAGGCATCGTGGGAATGCCACATCGTGAGGCCAATATCTAGCGCCAAGTTCATTACTTAAGAAGCTGAATTTCCACAATTGCAGCACCGGATCCGGCTTATTTCGGGCTGCGCCGTGATGCGGTTTCTACTTATTTGGGGAGCGTCGTTCGGTGCCTTGCAAATGAGGCGCGTTTTGTAATGGGCAAAGTACCTGAACGGAGAGAACGCAGGGAAAATACACGCTACCAATCAATAAGTTTCACGGTCGAGCACCCGGTTTCCCAGACTGGGGAATCCAATGCCATACGCCATAGCTCTCCCGGGAGCTGCGCCATGGTCCGGATAGAACGCGACCTGGCTCTCCAGGGATCAAGCGGAGGGCCCAACCGGAGACGGCTCCTCTGGGACACCGTGCTGCTGGTGTCGCCCACGCCCGTGAGTTGAAAGATCTCCACGATCAGAGGATTTTTAGTGGGTATGGGTCGATTTATCCACCACCGAGTCACACATAATCTGCCCCAGCACGGCAGATATGCACAAATGCATTTTATCTTTTCTCCCTTGGGCGGTGACACCAGGTCGTAAATTTGGACGAGGAAGAATTAAAAAAAAAAACTACGGTGAAGCTCCCATTCCACATTCGTGCCGAGCGCCGCTCCCTACGAAAGGCACCACGCACAGAAGCACCACGACCCAAACTATGCTGTCCGATGTGTCAAAAAGTCATTGGCAGTGCTGGAGGGCTGGTAATCCACATGGAATACAAGCACCCCAACGGACTGACCAAAGTGGCGTCCGAACCAAACAAAGCCACACCAAGAACCCACAGGTCCTAGAAAGAGAGAGGGGGAGGAACCCCCTGCCTTGCACGCCGCTGCTATAAAGCAGGAAGAAAGTGATGAAGCATCGCCGCATCTTACGAAGCGTAAGAGAACAGAGGCGCCCCTCACGACCAAAGCGCTGATAAAACACGAGGGAAAATACCCCTACCGCCCAAGCGGCGGAAGGAAAAGCAATGCCTGGTGTGCTTGAAATGATTCGCTTCTATTGAATCAGTAACGTTGCGCGGCAAAATATTTCCTGAAGACCAAGGGGTTCCCACAACAGGGAAACGCCGAATGATCCAGGGGGATGCTCCCAAAAATTTGCTAATTACAGCCTTTCTATGTACAACGCGCGGGTTCCTATGCGACAGCAAACGCGGACCCTCAAGGCACCACGTGGTTAGACATGAATTCGGGCCGGACACCGTGAAACTGAGCCAACGTAGACAGTGCGAAAGGAAGGCTGCATTTGCTGAGCTGTCCCGTGTTAAAGAGTCTACACTGCCACTTTGCTGTGGAAAAAAACTATGTGGAGAAGCTATACTTCATGCAAAATTTTGCCCAGTACGTCTTAGCATTGGAAAGGCTTTGTCCTCTACGGCATTCCTGGTGGAAATAGCACTTGCCCGTACAGCGGAAGGGGTGTTACATTCCTCTTTCTAAAATTTGCTACTTTTTAGATTTTCGCCGAACTCATTACTACAAGACGCCACCCTTACCTGCATTTTTGCTCCTGCAACCGGCAGGCAGGTCTACAAGATCCCGGGTGACAGGGAGCGGCCGCCCGAAGCCTTAAACGCGTACTTCCAAACCGGGGGGCATAAAAAAAATACACAACATAATACAAAAAAAAAACCACCACAAAACACAGAAAAAAAAATACGTAACAGACAATAAAGCGCCCTTCCATGTTGACGTTGGGCGGCGGCCGGCGTGCCCCGCCATGGTGGCGGACTAGGCAAGGCCATCGGCGCAAGTTGAGAAGACGCGAAAAGAACCCCAAAAAAAGGAACCCACCGCAGCGTAAAGGGGGTTAGGGTGGGACCAAGCGTTGGTATGACGAGCTGGGTGGTGTACCATGATGGTTGTATAGAGTTGTCGTGCGGGTTGGCCGTTCGAGTATACCGCGCTGCAACTGTTACGCAAAGCCGCCCCTTGCATTTCGCACAACAGCATATATTCAAGGCTACGGGTTAGCACCGTCGTGCATAGTGGTTGCGCGTTGGCTTCAACTAAGGCATCATCTGTGTGGCTGCCTTTTGGGGATGCCGGCAATTGTTTTAGAGAGTTTGCATTGCCCAACATTCGGAGCTGGCCGTGGGATGGGGGATGCGTTCCCAGTGCAATCCTTTTATACCATACATTGCGTTGGCATGTCCAAGAGCCAATTAGAAGGCACGCAGCGTGTCTCTTTTTTGTACCCAGCTCCACGGCGAGATGCCCGCTAGCTGCATGAGCCGCTGTTTCATCGGCCTCCGCACGCGCGCTGAATGGGAGCCTATTCTGCGGCAGTTCTGGAATGTGATTCCAAGCAGGGTCTGGAGCCGCCCCATGGCGACACACGTGCCATTGTAAGGGGGAGCAAGGGGGTTTGGATTTTGGTCCCGAATAAGGTGTGCATCGTTTTGGTTGCATTAATTTTCATGAAGCAATGTTCTTCCAAGGGTGCCACCGCGTTTGGTCCCTGTTGTAGGGTGGGGGTCATGGTCTCTTGGTCACGGCGTCAGCCAATCATGGCGACATTATCCACAAAGAAGCCGTGCCGTAATAGCGGGGCTTCGGCTAATGGTGTGCTGGGGGAATTCATGACAATCATAAATATGAGGGGCCGAAGAACCGTGTCTTGCAAAACTCCCCGCGCGAAAGAAACCGGAGAGGAGCGCATCTTGTTTACACAAACTACTGCCGTCCTGTTGCGCAGAAAAGAAGCCGGCCAACGCAATATATGTTGTGGTGCACCAGACCGTCGCAGATCAAGTATTATTTTGTCATTATCTACCGCGTTTAATGCTTTTGGGCAATGCACAAACACTGCGGCCGTTCTATCCTTAGGTGTCGGGCGATGCATTGTTGCTCAAAAGTGCAATAGNTGGTTCAGTGTGGAGTGGGATAGTCGAAATCGTGACTGCTGCAGCGGTGCGAGCACTGGCCCCATAACATCACGAATGCGTGCTGCTCCGATGCGCCCCATGGGCTTGCAGAGGCAACGTGTGAGCGCGACTGGCCTGTATGTCTCCGGTGCAGTTGCTTTCTTGCCCAGTTTGAAGAGTGGGGCTATAATCCCATGCCTTCAGCTCTGCGGAACGATGTCAGTGCGCGGGGTCTCGTTAAAGAGCGTCAGGGCGGAGTGTTTTGCACATTTTCCAAGGTGTCGCGGTGCCCCCCCCCCCCCCCCCCC